CCTCCAGTTAGCCTCCCATTTCAGCCGCTTAAAGTGCTGGGATAACAGGCATGAACCACCACACCCAGCCATGGGTTTTAGGTGCGGGATGTCTGGGATGAGGGCCTCCCTAGAGTAGACCATTTGTTCTCAAACTTGAGTGTGCATCAGGATCACCTGGAGGCCTTGGTAAGCCAGATTGCTAGCCCCACCGCAGAGTTGCTGAGTCAGTGGGGCTGAGGTGGGGTTGAGAGTTTGCATTTCTAATTAGGTCCCAGGTGATGCTGATGATCTGGGTTCCACACTTCTCCTTCCTGCCATCCCTTACCCTCTATAATTGCTTGAGTCCTAGCCCTGGGTTAGGCCAGAAAGAACAGGCAGCTGAGGAAGGGATCCCTTTAACAGGCACACCTTAGTATCCATGCAAGGCCAAGTCTGGAGGGGTCGCTGTTGCACTTCTCCCAGTGACAAGATCTCTGGAGTGATCCTTCTTTTTTTACCTTGTGCTTTGCACATCCCAGCTATTTATGAAATATTTGTTGTTTGACTAATTAGTTGTTTAGGGAAAATTATAAGGAAGGGAAACAAGGCAAAATGAAGACATTATCTCAAGGCAGCCATGCACTTAAGACAAAGTTTTCTTTTCTTTTCTTTTCTTTTTTTTGAGGAGTCACTCTGTGTCAACCAGGCCGGAGTGCAGTGGCTTCATCTCAGCTTACTGCAACCTCTGCCCCGCCCCGCCCCCCCAGGCTCAAGCAGTTCTCCTGCCTCAGCCTCCCAAGTAGCTGGGACTACAGGCGTGCACCACCACACCTGGCTTTTTAATTTTATTTTATTATTTTTTACTTTTAGTAGAGACGAGGTTTCACCATGTTGACCAGGCTCGTCTTTAACTCCCGGCCTCAGGTGATCTGTCTGCCTCAGTCTCGCAAAGTGCTGGGATTACAGGCATGAGCCACTGAACCTGGACTAGGACAAAGTTTTGATCAGTATTTGCTAGCTTGGCGGAAGGGGTAGAGTTTATCCTCTTTGGCCTCTAGCAAATGTGTCAGAAGCTCCTGGTTGGGAACCTGAAGCACAGGCCTGTGCGTGGGGGCAAGCAAAATCAGTGTGATTCAGTTTTTTGGCGAGTTCTGAGACTACCTTGGCAAGCTGGAAACCCTGGAAAAGAAGAAGCAGGTGGTCTATAAGGGTCTGGGGGTCATTCGAGGCCATGGGAGCCATCCTTTGTTCTGATGCCTCAGGATTCCCAGAAAGGCAACTTTTTTAAAAAAAGGAATTTCACATAATATATATGTCAAGAAGTTTAGAAAATGTCAAATGTGAATAGTCATGGCGTTTGAAATTTGGACTAGGGTATGTCCAATTTAGATGAAAACAAGCCATGTGCAACCCATTAGATTTTAATAGTTTTCCTCTTAATTGGTTATTTTGAAGCTGTATCTTTAGCAAATGGATAAACTGGCTGTAGGTTCCCTATTTAGTTATTGCTATGGTTCTTTTTTTTTGGGATGAAGTCTCACTCTGTTGCCCAGGCTGGAGTGCAGTAGCATGATCTCAACTCACTGAAACCTCTGCCTCCCGAGTTCAAGCAATTCTCCTGTCTCAGCTTTCTGAGTAGCTGGGATTACAGACATTTGCCACCATACTCGGTTAATTTTTGTACTTTTTAGTAGGCACAGGATTTCACCATATTTGCCAGGCTGGTTTCGAACTCCTGACCTCAGGTGATCTGCTGCCTTGGCCTCCCAAAGTACTAGGATTACAGATGTGAGCCACTGCACCCAGCCATGATTCTTTTTTTTTTTTTTTTTGAGACGGAGTTTCGCTCGTTACCCAGGCTGGAGTGCAATGGCGAGATCTTGGCTCACCGCAACCTCCGCCTCCCGGGTTCAGGCGATTCTCCTGCCTCAGCCTCCTGAGTAGCTGGGACTACAGGCACGCGCCACCATGCCCAGCTAATTTTTTGTATTTTTAGTAGAGACGGGGTTTCACCATGTTGACCAGGATGGTCTCGATCTCTTGACCTCGTGATCCACCCGCCTCAGCCTCCCAAAGTGCTGGGATTACAGGCTTGAGCCACCGCGCCCGGCTTCAGCCATGGTTCTTAATCCTAGCTGTCCATTGGAATCACCCGCATTGCTAAAAAAAAAAAAGTCCCAATGCCCTGGTTACACCCAGGATATAGAGGTAAGGCACAATAGCGTTTTTTTTTTTTAATTCTTTAAACTTTTATTCTCTTTTTCAATTTTTCTTATACCAGAAGGTGCTGAAGGAAGTGGCACAATAGTTTTTTTTTTTAAGGTCCCAAGGCAATTTTGGAGTGCAGCTAGAACAAAAAATCCTTGAGCTATTGATGGAGTGGTTGGAGAGGCTAGACTGAAACAAATAAGACTTTCTGGAGTGTCTGCTTAGCCTCTCCTGAGTGCCATGACTGCCCTCTTACCACAAGAAGGGACCATCAGAAGCTGCCAGAAGACCCTCTTCCTCAGCTCTAGTTGACAGGACTGGGGTGTACCTCCAGGACAGTACCTGACGCAGGATACCAATTAGCTCTCTCACACAGAAAGATGAACTTGGCATTCAGAAATTACAGCTATGACTGGGGCTCCTCTCTCAAATGGAGCAGAGGAGAGACCTGGTCAGAGCAGCAAGAAAAATTCGTTCTTGCCATCACCTCAGCCCCTGTTGCAGCACAGCCCTTCAGGAAGTCTGGCTACCACCCTGCCTGGGGCTCCAGGAGTCACTCATGAATCCTTATAACTTCCCCCCCAACCCCAGCCACCTGTTTGGCTGGGGTGAGTTTATGTTACTTGTGACCAAAGAGGCTTGCCACGTGCACAGACAATAGCACAACAAAAGCACACAAAAACAAATAATATATTCCCTTCCCCCACCACACTTACACCCAAACTCTTTGTAATTCCATGTGGTACCAGCGGAAGACTGTTTGGAATCTGTATTTTCTGGAGTCCACCTGGAGAAACCTGTTTTCAATTCAGTTGAGAACTGCAGTGGTTCCCCAATGTGGCTCCATAGGCTTCTTCAGAATCAGCTGGAGGAACTACAGATAATGCACATAGATTGCCAAGCGCCATCTCCAGAGGCAGAAGATGTTTAGTTTGAAGAGGATCTTGAAGTCTGTGTTTTAAAAACGTTTTCCATAAAATTTTGATGTGCGGTTGAGTCTACTGGGATCAGACTGGTTGGGTTAATTTTTTAAAAATTAAATTCCTCTTTAACTTCCTAGATGGAGGTGGTCTCACTATCAACATACCATTTTCTTTCTTTCTTTTTTTTGAGATGGAGTCTCACTCTTTGTTCCAGGCTGGAGTGCAGTGGCTTGATCTCAGCTTACTGCAACCTCTTCCCCCTGGGTTCAAGCAACTCTTCTGCCTCAGCCTCTCGCGTAGCTGGGATTATAAGTGCCTGTCACCGTGCCTGACTAATTTTTGTGTTTTTAGTAGATGGGGTTTCACCATGTTGGCCAGGCTGGTCTTGAACTCCTGACCTCAGGTGATCTACCCGCTTCAGCCTCCCAAAATGCTGGACTTACAGGCTTGAGCTACCGTGCCTGGCCTGGCCTTCAATCTATTATTTCTGGGAGATGGATTTTGGAGGCATTTTGTCTGGGAGATGGATATGAGCCTGGTCTGTGGAGGAACTAAACAGAGCCCAGTGAGTTTCAGGCTCGTGGGAGTACATGTAAATATCAATCAGGCCAAAGGGACCTTTCCAGGTTGACTGCTTGAGCTGGTCAAATGAAGCAGATCATTTACTTTGCCTTCTAAGCTCTGTAGTCACCACCAAAAGAATTAAAAAAGTGTGTGTGTGTAAGGCAGCAAATGTACCTTTTACTCTAGAAACAAAAATATCATTTCTGACCTAACAATAGCCGGATCCCTGTGAATGAAGGGTTTGCATATTTTCCTGTTTTAACGGTCCTAGTATAAACAGCCCAAGCCCAGGCCTGATTGTCAGAAGGTCCTGAGCAGCCCAACCAGAATGCTGGAAATGACTCCTTCAGCCCTGAGGACCTGGATCCGGCTTAGTGCCAGGATTTGGGCTTGTGTTTAACAGTAGCAACGGGGTCAGGAGTTGAGACAGAGGGCAATTGCAGTGATCCCCAAGACCACAGCTAATGCCAGAACAACAGCAATAGCAGCTGCAGGGGCAAAAGCAGCGGTGGCCACCATGTATTGATGATTTATTTGTACAACCCCAGGCTAAGTGTGTCATTATTTATTTGAATACTTACAAAAGCTTGATGTGGTAGGCATTATTATTCCAATTTTCAGAATGAGGTTCAGGGAAGTTTAGCAGCTTTTCTGAGGTCACACAGCATTTAAGGGAAAGACACAGGATTATGTGAAGGCAGATTTGACTCCTAATCATTACAAGACACTGCACACAGTAGCCCAGGTCACAAACATCATTTTGTGTGCCCGTTGGGGATACAGGGCTTTGGTTCTAGAAGTAGGCCAGCACACCTCTTCAGACACATTGCCGGTCCCTGCTTTTTTTCAAGGTGTCCCTTGCACCACCCCTATACTGGTCCCCAGCAGAGGGAGATGGCTGGTAGCAGGGGCTAGAAGGCCCTCTTCTAGGTCAAGGCCATCCCTAATTTCTGGGTCAATTTTTTTGTGTCCTGAGAACGGGACCAAAGTCTCTTTGTTAGGCTAGCAAAGGACTCAACATTGGCTAGGCACAGTGGCTCATGCCTATAATCCCAGCACTTTGGGAGGCCGAGGTGAGTGGATCTCTTGAAGTTAGGAGTTCAAGACCAGCTTGGCCAAGAGAGTGAAACCCTGTCTCTACTAAAAACACAAAAATTAGCTAGGCATAGCGGTGGGTGCCTGTAATCCCAGCTACTCAAGAGGGTGAAGCAGGAGAATCATTTGAACTTAAGAGGCAGAGGCTGCAGTAAGCCGAGATTGCACTGCTGCACTCCAGCCTGGATGACAGAGTGAGACTTCATCTTAAAACAAACAAGAAAAGAACAAAAACAGCAACAACAAATTAAAAAGAAAGACTCAACATTTATTGATCAACTACTGCTTATATATTTACAAATCCAGACTGATCCAGAGAGCTTGGCTTAAGGAGACTTTCCTGGGCCTACAACAGATACTTGGTGCTGGTGTATAACAAAATTATGCTTCATCCAAAGGATGGATTATTAAGCAATAATTGAAAACCATTTTTCAAAGAATAAGGAGAAAAACCCTATGGTGAAAGGTTAAAACAAGCAGTATACAAAACTGCAAATTTTATGTGTATGTGTTAATTATAAAAATTAGACTTATTTTAAATGAAATATATATTTAAAAAGACTGGAAGAATGCCATCAAAATGTTAACCGTGGTTACCTTGTGAGAGGATGGATGGGATTGTTGTAGTGTTGGCGCTTTTTTTTGGGTGCATTTTAATGTTTTATTTTCCCAGTTTTCTTCAGTTTGAATTTGTGAGTGGGGGGGGGGGAAGTGAAAATGTGAAAAGTCGTAATACCTAGCACTGGAAATGCATAGATATGATGACTACGCAATTGTTACCCCATCCTGTCTCGAATGGATGCAGCAGGCAAAAGTGTCTCTTCGCCTCACTGTCTGAAGTTCATTTCAAGGGCAAGAATGGAAGCCTCTGGAATCAGTTCCCTCCTGTCCCGGCAGAACCTGAGCGAGGCCTGTGCGGTGCGGGTAGGGAGCCGCCCATTCCGGCCGTCTAGGCGCTATTTGGTTGAAGAGACGAGTGCACTGCAAGAAATAGAGGCAGCCAAGCGCCTGGGCCACCATCAAACGGAGTTGAAAGGGGGAGGGTAGGCTTTTTTGGGCGTCGGTCTGGACCCGTGGGTGCCAATCAATGCTATAGTGCAAAGGGGTCGAGCACAGCCTGGGGCCACCCCCGGAGTCCCCCAGCGTTGCCTGTGGCGGTGCCTGGCTGGCGGCAGATCCCGACGGGCGCCGCACAGCGGCGGGATTACCAGCGCAGAGCTCCGGCTCTCTGTCTTGCGCCTGGGTCCGAGCACCGGAGCCTCGGGTGTCGGCAGGGAGCAGAAGTCTCGGATTGAGAAATACCGGAGGGTCTAGTCAGAGGCTGAAGGTGCGGCAGCCATTCTGGGGACCCAGCAAGAATGGGGTCGCCAGGCTCTGCGCGAGCCCCTCCTGTAGGTGCAGCTCCGGGCCGCCGAGGGAGGCGGCGGTAATGTCGCCCCGTACCAGCAGAGGGCAGCCTCGAGGCCGTGAGCCCGTACGGCGACCTCGCCGAACCACCCGCTCCCTTCCAGCTCCCGGACTCTGCGGGGTGGGGAGCGGCCTTGGAGCCCAGGGCCCAGCGACCTCAGTCTGCCGGAGCCCGGCGCCGAGGCCCAGGGGCACCCCCGAGATGTGGTCAAACTACAGCCCTTAGGCAGCCTCACTCTGAGACGGCAAGGGCTCAGAGGATGGAAGGGGACCAGATGCCTCAGAAGGGGTTAGAAAGAAACAAAACCCAATGCACACGGGGAATTTGTTCTCAAGCCACAGATTCCAAGCGTGCAGAAACCTTTTAAATGATGCTGGTGAGAGCTATGAGAGTCTTCGTGTTCTTGGCGTGGGAAGTCGGAGGCCAGTAGCGGGATGGCTCCTGACCGCACGGGAGACGTGGAGCAAGAGGGACCAGCGATCCGTGCTGTGGACAGAGGGACTGTGGGCCAAGGATCCAGACACACTTAACTGGGGATTCCAGTCCCTACTCTGGCCACTTGGTGTTGAACTGGAGCAACTCACTGCACCGCTCTAGCCTCGGACTAATCACTTCTGTAAAATGGGCATGGAGGGCTCCGGGTCTTGTAGGGGCGCTAGGGATTCGAGACAGCGGGAACTGCCTCACTGCTCCGGCAACCCTGGGTTCCTGGGTTTGCAGCTGGGCTGAAAGGATCCTTTCATCGCACGTTTGCCTGACGTGGCTGCTTTAGAGACCAAGGCCCTACAGGCTTTGTAACCCAGTTGCGCGTGGGCAGCCACGGCCGTGGAACCGCCAGGATTGCCCCAGCAGCTCTCCGGCCAGCTCCCAACTTCCCGCCTTGGGCACCCTCTCCAGAAGACGGCGCTTATCAGCACACAAATTGAGACCCCCACACCCGGGCGCGGTGCGTCTCCCAGGAAACCTGGCGAAGGGCCAAGGACCGCCGGACCTGAGGTCCCCTGAGGCGCTAAACAGATCCATCTATGAGCACATTCAGCAAACACACCCAGGTTCATTTGGCTGGCCTAGATCTCTCTCAGAGTGTGTGCACACGGGCACCCATTAGCGTCTCTTGGCTGGTTTCCTCATCTGTAAACTTCGAAAGCAGAGTATTTCCCGGGATGATTGTGAAAATCATGCCCAAACTGAAAAGGCCTGTGTGAATGCGTGGTTTAATGATGACTTATGAGCAGCTAGCCCCGTACCTGTCTGCAGGAACCAGCAGGATAAATGCTGGAAGGTTCTACAAATGTGTGCACATACACATCACATATGTGTAAAGGTGCACACCTGTCCCTAGACACATACCGAATGCACACACGTATGCATGTACGAGTGGCTGAGGGTGAAGGGGCGAATACAGGGTTCACACAGGACATCATCCTGCAGTCTTGCACGTGCACACTACGCCATCAGGCACAGCTGTCTGTGCCTGGAGACACCGCGTGGCACCGGAGGAGCTGCTCAGCCAACCCATTTCTTCCGAGCTGGGTTGGTGCCACCCGGGGAAGTAGGATCTCGAGTGCTGCTCTGGAGCGCGGAAAAAGTCCGGATCCGGGTCTGCTGGTCAGCGCTTCGGCGCCGCCGGGCTTCTTTATCTCTCATCTGCGGGCCGGGGAGCGGCTCCAGTTTCAGTGGGAACCACGACCCCCAGCCTGCCGGTGGAGGAGGGAGCAGAGAAGGAGGCCACTCCCGGCACAAAAGGGTGCAGGGCCCCACTCCCCAGGTCTGTGGTCCTTTTTTTATCTCCCCAGGTCACACCCCCACTGAAAATAAAGAGGGGTCTCTGACTCACTCAGGTCAGGCAAGGCGTCCCAGGGACCCTCTGCCCTACAAGCAATGGTGAAGGGAGGTGAAGCCAAGGTTTGCCTCGGGCTGGGGGAAAATGCGGCTGCAGGGTCTCTTTGGGCTGTAGCGCTGGCCCGGGGCCCCAGGACGTGTTAAGGTGTGCGTGGGAGGCGGGCAGCGTGGCTACCGAAGAGCCCTCCATCACCGCACCCGAAGGCCGCCGGACTCGTGCCCCTCTCTTCCTTCCAAGGGTTCTGAGCTGCGCAGCCCTCGCATCACCCAGAAGTGTCTTCGGAGAAAATGACCTCAGGCGTGCAAGCCCAAGGCTGCCGCCCGCAAAGGCAATACCCTGTAGGCTGGTTTCCCCGGGGACCTGGGTTTTTAAGGATCACAAACAGTCTCTCGCCTTCTCTGCAGACTCATTCGGCTGACAGGAGGGTGTAGCGCAGAAAATTCGAGGCCGGGCGCTGGAGGAGACGAGAGGTGCAGCTGGAACAGACGATACGCGGGTTCGGATCTGGCTGGCCAACCGAGCCCAGCGGTCGCGAAAGCCAGAGTCGCCACAGAGGTTGAGCACGATTCCATTTCTGGGGATCAGTCTGTCCCTAACTGATCCCTAACGCCTCCGGAGAGTTTAAGCAGGAAAACATAATGCTGGTTGGGAGCAAGGTCCAAGGAATTTAGTGGCAGAAGCCTTTCAGGGGAAAGGCAGATCTGTGCCTCCTTTGAGCCTGGGGGTGGGGACAACCCGTGGCCTTGTAGCCCCTGTTCCGGGGATCCGCTGGGCCCACCAGTTGGAAACCTCCCTATATGGGGTTGAAAGTGGCCAGTGGGACGGCCCCGCCGCCCCTCCCTCGGGATTCCACAGGGCCCTGACCCGGCCTTTATCTCGGCACGGTCAGCAGTCGCGGGGGCTTCAGGAAGGAGGACAAAGGCCCGGTGTCACTGCGGGCGGGGGCTCGGTTTCCTGGCTCTCTGCTCACACTCACAGCCTTTAGCGGTTGTTGGGGGAAGATTTTTAAAAATATGTGTCGAATTTCCTTTTTTTTGCTCTTTTAGAAACAAACAAACAAAAAAGGCAAAAGGCATATTCCCCTTTGCTCTCGTCCGTAGAGATTAAAGTTTCCTGGGATTCTGCCCTTTTTTAAAATTTGACTGCCTAGAAATACTTGCTCTCCCTTGTACATAGAGGAAAATGAGGGGAACGGTTTTTTACAATTCGGTTTGATGCTACTATTGTTACTAAGGACAGCCCGGCAGGCTGAGGTCCCAGTGTGGGTGATCGGAGTCGGCCTCGCGCCGGGGCTCTGCGGCCTCTGCCCCGTGCGCTCAGCACCCCTGGGGGCGATCAGGGCCCCTGAGCATTTGCCCGCCGCCCCATCGTCGAGAGCACCCTGTGCCTAGACTGGCCGACTGACTCTCCCTCGAATTTTGTTTAGACCTAGCAAGGGGGACTCGGCCCGCGCCCCAGGACCTGGGCTTGCAGCGCCGCCAACGGGCCCGCGGACGCGAGGCGCTAGCGACCAGGCCGGGGTCTCTCGGCTGCGGGCAGCTCTCGCTCCCCACCCGCGGGCGGCGCCTCTGTCGCCTGCAGCTCGGCCCAACCCGCTTCCTGCGTTTGCCCCTCAGGTTTCCCGTTTCTCCACAAAGGCCTAGGGGAGCCTCGCCCACAGGCTGACCCTGCAACCTCTGGCCCGGTGGCTACCTTCTGCTTTTCTGAAAAAGAAAAGAAAAGGAAAAAAAAAAAAAAAAAAAAAATCAACCAGTGGGGAGAGGCGCGTGAGGACTGGAGGCGCCGGCCAGAGAGCCTGTGAGTGGGGCTGCGGCTGGCCCAAAGCCCCTGGGTCGGTGCCGCTTCGCGGGTCAGCATGGCCTTTCTTAGAGAAAACCCCCTAAACACGTGAAGACCGCTTTGGGCGGCTCAGCACCCACCGTCTGTGCCTTCATGGCTTCGGTGTTCGCTGCGACGGCGACCGCGTGAGCCTCACTCTCACGGCCAGGGGTCTAAGGCAGGGTGGATGCAATCGCGTGTGCCCGGCCCCACGAAGGTGCTGGCAGGGGTGCCTGTGGCCGCTGGGTTAGGAAGTCAAGTCCTAGAAAGTTATTACTAAAGGTTCTTTTTTCCCTTCCCTTCTTCCTTCTTTGCTTCCTTTTTTTTTTTTTTTTTTTTTTAAATAGGGGAAGGGAATAAAACATTATTGAGCAGCTACTATAAACTGGGCACTTAAAAATTAGAAAATTTAATTATTTGATAATTCCAATACACACACGTATGTATTTCTATTTTATAGAGGAGAACACTGACATTCGAATGGGTATTTTGGCCAAGGTTACACAGTTACTAAAGAGGACAGCAGGCTCCATCCCAGTTCTTCCTGGCTGAACAGGCCCCTGTCTTTGCCCATCCTGCACAGGCCACCTCCCAGAAGTGACAAGATCCCAGAGCAAGCTTTTCACAGCTCAGCACCAAGCCTGTGCAGCAAACGGCCTGCACAGCAGCAGTTTCTGTGGCACAGTCTTCCCACAGCTCACTCTGCGTTTCCTTCTATTGCAGGCTCCCCCTTACCACGCAGCTCCCTCGAGCATCAGTGGCAGCTAGGCTCAGCTGCCAAGTCTCCTTTTAAAATTTCCAAAGCATTTTGTCCCGCAGATAGCCGGATGACCTTTGGTTGGTCTCTTCTCTTCTTAGGACCTGAGATTCCTCAAATGTAATTTTGGGTTCCTAGATCCAAGACACTGTTTTTATGACAGCCTGGAGCCCTCTCTCCAGAAAGTAGAAACTTGCTAAGACTGCTTGGCTTTAAGAATCCTTAATTCCTGGTTGTCTCTAAGCATTGCTCTTAGTCCCATCCCTTTCCCGTCTTTTCCTGTGGGTCCCACAGTCTACTTCAAGAGTAGGGGCTGCCACGTAGTGGTGGCAGAACTGACGGGCAGGGCCCCAGAGTCATCACCGGGTTAGATCTGCAGAATGGGGACACTGCAGGGGTCCTAAGTCTGATCAAGCTGCTTCCTGGCCTTAGACCCCCCAACCCGGAGGCCAGGAATCTGGTCCAGCGGTTCTGTCCATTAAGTCTGGCCCAGGCCTTCATAAAAGGAAGAGTTCAGTTGAGAGCAAACTGTCTTGGGCCAGACCCAGATTCCTGTCCCATCTTCTGCTTGTCCAGCTGCATGAAGTCTGGGAATGGCCCCAATTTCCACCCGCCACCAGGGGGCTCCGTGTAGCCTGACCTCCAGCCTTGACTTTCACGGCTTCCTGGAAACCCTGGCAAAGGCTGGATGCACCTAACCTGGAATGAAAGGTCCAGGGCCTCTTGTTCATCCAAGCCTCAGATGTGGAGCAGCAAACTATTTACTGATGCAAGTGGGAAACAGGCTTGTGTATACCTCTGGAGTGGGGTACAGGACCATCTCCAGAACTCCATAGGTCTCCTTTCCACAGTCCCTTGGTGCATGTACTTGAATGGCAAAGATTTCTCAGGATCCCTCTTGAGAACAGGATACCCCCCAACCTTTCCCTCAACCAACCCACTTACTCTGACTGGGCATCTTTAGTTAGGTGAAGGTGACTGTAAGAATTTCTGTGTAAGTGTGAGGCGGGTGCTCATACGGTCAGCAGTGTGTGAGGATGTTTACACGCAGCACACACATACTCTTCATGCAAGAACAACTCATTACCCAGGACCTTCAGAAACTGGCCGGGTACTTGTATTAAACTCTATTTACATTGTATTTACACACTGACCAACATATATACATACACCCAAATGGTCCAGCCATCTAACTAGACTGTATATGATGAGGCATAATTGCTATATATCAGGAACTCTCTAAATACTTCTACCTTCACTTAGGGAATTGCTTAAATCAGCTTCTATAACAGAAACCCTAAAAAGGAAAGAGGGAGAGAAGAGAAAGGAAATGAAAGATGAAGAAAGCCTGCCATTGAACTAAAGTTTTGGCACTGGGGAAAATGACCAAACTTAAGAGCCTTGGGGAAATCCCAAGGGCTGGAATTAGACAGATTTTTCCTATGGGCATCCATGGGGAAGTGCGGTATGATTTGGTTCCCTTCTCCTATCTCCTGCAATCCCTGTGTAGACCCAGGAAACCCTCACTGAGTCCTTCATTTTGTCTTTCTTACTTGGTGAGGCTGCTAATCCCTTCTGAGCTTTGGTGCCTTTTGCCTTTCAGTTCTCAGGGGAGGAGACAGGTTGGTCCTACATTGCTGGCCCCCACCAACTTCTCTGATTCACTGCAGGTGAGCTGCTACCTGCCCACAAGGGCTTAACCCTGGAGGCTTCCCTCCCCTGCTTTCTCTGTTTGAGACAGCAGCTGGGGGAGTGCTGACAGCCAGCCTCAGAACAGGGAGCCTCTGCCTGATGAATCGGAGGCTCTGTCCATATTCTTTTATTTTTCAGCAAGCCAGGAATACACACCCACAAACGCACACATCACTAATGAGGTATGAATGCCACACACTGTAGTCCCAGTAAGCACTTTCTAAGTATTAGCCATATGGTTATTACAATGCCGAAAATATATGCCCACTCTGTAGGCAAATGACAGACACACACACCTCCCACCCTGTCGCCAGTATACAACTGACACTGTACATACACATTTGCAGCAGATACAGACTACACAATTGTTCATGAGCTACATTTTTCACACTAGATAAAGCACAGACATGCACACGGTGGCTGCTTTCTGTTCTGCAACTCCTCTTAGTCAGCCAGACAGTTGAGTTGGGCACCAAAGGCACCCAGACACCAGGCCTGACTAGCTTCTAGGGCTCCCGGCCCCAGCTGAGCCTCCCTCTCCATCCTGCTCCTGGTGGCTCCTGGTAGGCTCCAGTCCTGGTCTCAGGGTGATGCGCTCTGAAAATCCCTGTGGCTTAGTCTCCTGCCTTGTAGCCTCCCACAGGATGTCTGTTGGCAGGGGGCGGGCAGGGGGCATTCTGAGCAGGAGCCACTTGGGCTCAACTACATGTAACAGGGCTACCACCCTGAGGTTCTTATGGCCTGACCACTGGAGGGCTGAAGTGAAAGGCCTGCAGGCTCATTCCCTTGGTGCCAAATCTCTCCTGGCCCACCAGCCGGCCTGGACCCGCGGCCACACTGCTGACCAGGCCCCGAAATGGACGGGAGCAGTGAGGGACACACAGCTGGGTGCGGGGTCTAGTGCCAGCTGAGCAGCAGCCCGCAAGAATGTTGATCTATCCCATCAGAAGTCGGAAGTCATCTATCCCATCAGAAGACTGAAGGCCGACCACCCCCTAAACCGCCTGGGAGAACCAGACTGCAACCAGGTCAAACGCCTGTGTGCCTGCGTGGAAGCACGGATCTTAATTTGTTATTTGAAGAGCTCAGTAAAGGAAGAGAGAGAAAGAAAAAAGACTAAATTTCTGCAGCTACGAAGTATGTTCAGTCCTTACTGAAACCTCCAAATCGCCTACCCATATCTCAAGGTAAATGAATTCTGACTATTAAAAATAATAAAGCAGTCACTCCTCACATTTGTACAGGGGTTAGCAGCTTGTATAGCATTTCCACAACCAGAATTTTATCTATTAATACTTGGAACAAATTCTTGGCTGTTATAGTTGACTCAAAATCGAAAAGCATGAGAACAATAATAAAAACACAGCCAGCGCATAAACTTAGTACAACTGTGTATGAGGTAGAATACAAACTTGAATGGGTACAAAATAAAACAAGTCCTACCTATAGTAACGCTTTGTGAACGAACCGCGGCAGAAAGTCTTTCTGCTGACGTTAAACAGCTGCAACGGGCCAGTGATGACACCGAAAACAAACAATCCCCAGGAAAACAAAGCCGCAGCGACAGCCACAAACGCCCGCCACCCCGGTTGCTCTCAATGCTTGTTTAGCTCCTTCTGAAAAAGATAAAATGTTGCTGAAAATCTCCCACTCTTAACTAGCTGCTGAACTAAGGCGCGAAGGAAATAAGTAAGTCCGTGTTAAAAGGAAGAACAAAAAATTTATTCGGAAATCGACAAGGCAAAAAACAAAAACAAAAACACGAACAAAACAAAAACACAACAAAAGTGCTCTAGTTTTCTCTAGAAAATTTGGTCCCCCAAATGACAAACTACAGGACAACCAGGGCTATGGTTTTCGGGCCGGGCCGGGCCGGGCCGGCTCGGGGCCACAAGACCGCCTAGGTCGGTCGCTGTCGGGTTTCACATTTCTCCTTCCCAAGGTGGGAGAAGCAGGACATTTGAAAAACAAAAAGCAGGAAGGACGAGCCGTCCCTGCAGCGAGGGCCAGGCAGGCAGTCATCTCCCGGGATCCAGGACTTGCATCGGAAGATCCGGGGACATTTGTTTCTGACTTTTTTTTCTTCAGATAGGGAGCGGGTGAAACTTCCCCCAACTGGTAGACGAAACCGTCTTTTATTGGATATATTCTCCTACCTCTGAACACAGCTTTTTGAAGGCCCGACAGGAACTCTAACACAAATCTTCCAGAAGAGAAGATGAAGAATACTAAAGCTTTTGATTTTCATGTTTGGATTTAGCAAACTCCAAGGCCACAATACTTCCCCGGTTGCCCGGTGAATGTTTTTTTCCTTAAAAAATTTTTTTCTTTTGGATACTCTCTTAAAAAGCCCCACCGATCTTTTAAACAAAACGTTAGCCAGCCGCCGGGGCCCGGAGGTGCCCGAAGCGCCCGGACGGACAACGGAGGTTAAGGCAGCCTCCCTCTGCGCGGGCCCGTGGTGTAAACCAAGCACAGGCCTCAGAGCCGGGCTGCCCCGGCTCCCGCTGGTTCCCAACCCCTGCAACGCCTAGTGGGCCCCGCGGCAAGCAGCTTCTGAACACCTTCAAGAGGGTTCACGGAGCAAACACACAAATTGGTCCGTCCTTTTCTCCCGCGGCGCGGGTCCCGCCGCCAATCCAGTCCGGCGCGTGTAGCCAAAGACTGCACGGCAGTCGGGCGGGGAACGCCGAGCGCTAGCGCACCGACCTGTGAGAGAAGGCCAAGAGGTCTGCGCCGCCGACGCCGAATCGCACCTCGGCCCCGGGCGCTTTCCGCGGTCAATTTGGGCAGGAGACGCTGGGACTCCGGAAACAGAAGAGCCCGCAAAAGCGCGCAGAGAGGCGGCTTCAGGCCGGGGGACTGCAAGGGCATAGAGGTCACGGAGGTGAGCACAGAAGGACAAGCAGAGGGACAAAGAGGGGCGAGAGGAGCTGAGGAGAGCGAAAAAGCAGAGAGGGACCCTGGGCGCTGGCTCCAGAGGCGGTCCCAGAGGGTGCGAGGTCCGGCTGGCGGAGGCGGCTGCGACTAGGGCCGGCGCCGCGCGTTCCTGCCTCCTCGCATCCGTCCGAACTGGCATGCGGTGGCCTCTCAGAGATCTAGGCGCGAATGCAGGGCGCCGGTCTTGCTGTCGTGGTCCCAGTAAGAGCAATGCATCATGGCGAGCTCGGGCTGCCGGGCGCAAGCGAACTGCAGGCCGGGCGCACTGCTGGGCGCGGGCGCCGGGGGCGCGGCGGTGGCTGGGCTGGCGGGGCTGAGCTGGCCCGGGGGCGGCGCGGCGGCCCCGTGGTGCGGTGGGGCCGGCGGCGGTGCGGCGGCCGCGTGCAGATGGTGTGCGTGAGGATGCGGGTGGGGGTGCGGCGGGGGCGGGGGCGCGGCCGGCGGGCCTCCCAGGCCGTTGTACGAGTTCACTACGCCGTGGGGCAGCGCCATGCTCTGCACGCGTGCGTACGGCCCGTACGAGGCGGCCGGGCCAGCCAGCCCCTTGACCACAGCGGCCGCGCCAGGGCTACCAGGGCCGGCGGCTGCAGCCGCCGCCGCCGCAGCCGCTGCGGCCGCCGCCATCTGGCAGGAGGCATAGGGCATGGGTGAGGGAGGCTGCGGCAGCGGCCACGAGTTGTTGAGGAAGCCGGATTGCAGGTACTTGGGGGGCGCCAGGTAGCCGTAGCCGTCGGCACCGGCGCCCGCCACGCCGCAGCCTCCCGCGGCGCCTCCGGCCCCGAAGAGCCCTTTGCCGGGCTGGAAGTGCGCGGGCGGCGGCCGGAAGGGCCGCTTCATGCGGCGGCGGCGGCGGTAGTTGCCCTTCTCGAACATGTCTTCGCAGGCCGGGTCCAGCGTCCAGTAGTTGCCCTTGCGCTCGCCGCCGCCCTCGCGCGGCACCTTGATGAAGCACTCGTTGAGGCTGAGGTTGTGGCGGATGCTATTTTGCCAGCCCTTCTTGTTCTTCTCGTAGAACGGGAACTTGGCGATGATGTACTGGTAGATGCCCGACAGCGTGAGCCTCTTCTCGGCACTCTCGCGGATAGCCATGGCGATGAGCGCCACGTACGAGTACGGGGGCTTCTGCGCCGGGTCTGGCTTCTCTGGGGCTGTCCCGCCGCCACCCCCGCCGCCCTTGCCTGGGCTCGGTGGCGGCGCTTCTGACTCCTTGACTGCGCGGCCGGTCTCCGGGGCCAGCAGGGCCCCCGCGGCGTCCTCGGGCTCAGGGTAGCTGGCCATCATGACAAAGCCGGCGCGCCGCGGCCGGGCCGCCTCTGCTCTCCGCTCCAGGCGCTGGCGCGGCAGAGTTGGGGCGCACGAGTCTGCTTGCGGCCGAGTCTCAAACTTCTGGAGATTGCGGATGCCGCCCGCGCTCGCTCGCTGGAGGCCTCTCGCTGCTCTCCCCTCTCCTTCCCCTTCCCCTAGGGAGCGGCTGGCCGGAGTGGAGCTCAGCTTCTGGCCATGGGGAGTCCGCCCAACAGAGAGGGGCTCCGGCCTCGCCGCCCCTCCCCGCCCAGGCCAGTCCCCGCCTCGGTGGGTTTTCTTTTCTGCGCTCTTCCCCTCCCCCCGCCCCCCGGTTTCCCGAAGCACGACCCGTGTCTCTGGCGGAGCAGCCTCCTGGAGTCCCTAGTGCGCCAGGAGCCTCGCTCTGTTCTGATTCGTATGGGCTCCACCAAGTTCCGCTTGCGTCAGGCGCCTTCGCCCCTATAGCGGGGCGGCCAGCCGCGCACGGGCGAGTTCATCTCCAAGTCACTTTTTGTAAACGCCCCGCACAGCCTGGACCGGCCTGCCCCCGCCCGGCGAGCCTCGGGGGCCCAGCCGACAGCCTGGCTCAGGCTCTCATGAGCCCTTGAAATCTGTCGGTGCTCGCTCTGCGGACTGGGCCGTGAGATGAGGATGACCCCGGGGGGTTCCGCCCGCACCCGACCAGAGCCCAGGAAGCTCGGGCCCCAGCGAGGAGAGGCGCTCCAAGCCTCCTCGCGACTTTCAGGTGAAAGAAAACGACTCTTTTGCTTTGCTGTTTGCCGCTGTCTTGAAGCTGAACTTCTAGCTCGGGGCTGGGGAGGGACGAGACACCTAGGAGGCCGGACCCGGCAGGATGGGAGAGCTGCGCTGAGATTTTGGGAAAGTCAGCCCAAAAACCCATGTGACTGTACGAAGAAACCTCGGCCTGGCCGGTCCCTCTCGGAGGCTGGAATAGGGCTGGGGAGAGGATCTCTGGGAAGAGTCGCCTAGGGGCGCTGTCTGAATCGCCTCTACCTCTTCCTGCGTTGCCAGTGGATCTAGGAACCAGGCTTCTCCTTGGAATCTGAATACTACTACGGGGTTGGGGTGAAGGCTGGATGTGTGCTTTAACAACATCAAGTGGATGCCCCTCAGCTATTGCGCTAACGCAGGCGGGGATGTGGCCCGGGACTTCGAGGGACTGTGTATGTGTGTGCACAGGGGTCACATGTGGAAGTCATGGAGAGGAGCTGTCCTTGAGATGGATGAGATACCAGGTGCATGTGTGCTGCTTAAAAACACAGGTATGCACATGTACAAGGTGTGCGATTGGCATTTACAAGGTAAAACACACCTACACTGATAGATATGTAGTATGTGCACCAAGTATTAAAGTAGCTGGTGGATAGAGCATCTTCTCTCTCTTTTTCTCTTTTCTTCTTCCTTCCCAGCTTTCTTTCTTTCACAATTCGTCAATGCCTCTTTCCCTCCTAGTGTATGTATTTTGTCACCGGCTGGGAAGAAAAACATCAGACTGAGGAAGGTACTTGTTCAAATCTCTCTCCTGATGAGACGTTTGTTCTGATCTCTCTCCAGAGGATCAGGAGTAAGTTGTCACCTACCTTAAGTAGAATTCTGATTGGAATCCAGTTATGTCAGCATGTACAGAGATTGTTTCAGGGAAAATCAGATGTGCCTTTTAACAGTGTGCTCCTTAATAGCGCCTTTTAACTTGACCTTAACAAAAAGTCTGCAGTCATAAAGTATGAGAGAGATGGCCAGTGTTTTGAATCCCAAGCTCCAGACTCCTTGGTGCTGAGGAGGGGAGCAAGACTGCCTTATGGAGAAAGGCGGACTGAATGGATGTCATGTAGGTGTGTGTTAGTGATTGGCATGTCTGGAGTGGCTGGCTCAATGCCAGTCCCTGCCTCTTCCTCCCAAGCTGCTTAGTCTCTGAGGGTTTTCCGGAAGCCCAAGGAGCCTTCAGTGGCCTGTGGCTCCAGCATCCACAGGCCATCTTTAAGTGTTGTCTGCTGCTCACTCAGGCCTCCGATCTGCATTCTGAGATGGAAGGGAGGGAGGACAAGGGTGGTGAGGCTCTTTGGAATTCAGCATCTTGAAGATGACACCAGAGAGGTCAGCAGGGCAGCCCTTGCCTGGTCACAAGAGTGAGAGGGAGCAAGGCTATCCCCAAAGTAGTTAGTTATTATTATTATTATTATTATTATTATTTTATATGGGCATTCTCCCACTGCACCCAACAGACTTGGGGGAAGCAGCAGTTCCGTAGAATCCCTGTGCTGCTTTCTGAACTGGAGTGCAGATGTTTTTCTTCTTCCTTACCCCCATCTGTGCCCAGGCCTTGGGTGGGAGTGGTGAGTCAGGTTTGGGGCTGCTGCAGATTGGCCTCAGTGCCTATCCTCCCCCAAGCCAGGGCCTGGACAGGGGGAAAAACAGCTGGGTCTGGCCCCATCCTGGTGGGGGCTGCTCTCTTCTCTTCTCTCTCTCTCTCTTTTTTTTTTTTTCTGACCACCCAGGCTGGCTCTCTGCCTCTCTCGCTCTTTCTTCTCCTCGCAGGCATTTCCGCTGCTCAGCCCTGCAGCAGCCAGGTGTAACAGCATTGTTGTGTGTGTCATCACTTCCCTGAATTCGACACTCGGCTCTCTTTTCAGCCTTTAAGGAGCCCCTGCGTGTGTGTGTGTGTGTGTGTGTGTGTGTGTGTGTGTGTGTTTGTGTATGTATGTATGTAGGAGTTGGGGCAAAGGAAGGAGTTCCTCTAAAGGATTTTCGGAGTAGAAAGGAGTTCTGTTTCGATAATATTAATTTCTGACTGTCCCTTAGAGGAACAGAACCCCCAGCCACGGTGAAGAGGAGGATGCCTGATGCGTGTACCCTGGGACGGGCTGGAATCAGTCTCCCCAAGATGTGCCTTCACATGGCTGTCGGGCAATTCGAAGGCTCAGAAAACAGGCCAGAAAATGCGGGCGGGAAACCTGGCAGGATGATTACTTTCAGGTCCGCTCCAGGTCTCTGCGGAAAAGCCAGGGGCTTCGGGCTGGAGGTAGAGAAGCCTAGGGAGAGAGTAGAATCTTCTCCATGCCCGCGCAGCCAGAGGTCGGTGGAGCAGGCGTTCCAGGAAGCGGTGCGTCGCGCCTTGATTTACTTCTCAACCGTCTGAGGCAGGCTGGTTGCTGGCAAGGTCGGGATCCTCTCTGAACAGGGCATATTTTGCCTAGATTTTGTGGACGCCAGGGCCAGTTCCTTTTCTCCCGGCGGCACTGGCGCGACGCAGGGCCCCAGCTTAGTAACCTTCGGGCAGCGCTCACCTCCAAAGGCCAGGGTGGTGGGCTGGGCAGAGCTCACTGCCTCTTTGCCCCAGTTTTTCAGGGTCCGTCAGCTATAATTCGGGAGCCACCGGCGCCTCCTGACCATGGTCTCACCGGAGCGCCGCTTGTGGATACGGTTCCAGGGACCCGCCGACTGAGCACAGTCTCAGCTCCCGCGCCTCCTTGCAGCCTGGCCCCGCACCTCGGAGGCCCCGACAGCCCGCACGAGCGATCTACTCGGCGCTGATGGAGACGCTTTTCTCTCCAGGGCCGGGAATTCTGCAACAGCAGCAGAAGCGGCAGCGCCTCGGGATCTCGGCGGCCCAGCCATGCTGGGGGAGCATTGCGGCTGCTCCGAGGCAGGCAGCGCTTCCCTAGAACCGCTCAGCTTGCCCCGCGCCGCCGCTGGCTGCCTGAACCAGGTTCCGCGGTCCCCTTTCCTAGTGGGACACCGAAACACCCGCCGGCTTCCTACTCCTGAGCGGGAGAGAAGAATAGAGCCTGCGGCAACCCTCTCCTTGCAGGGATGGCCTCTGCGGTGCTTGGACAGCAAAGGGAAGCTTCACTGTGCCTGTTATTACATCCCCATACACTCCACGCCTCAACAACTGTCAGCATTCGCTCCCTTCCGGCCTCTCACACGGCCCTTTGTACCCACACCTCAGGGACTGTGTCCCTTCACTCAGCTCGAGTTACTCCATCCACTTCTGCCTACCTCCCTCTCAGTCAACTCCAAATCCCCTCTAGTTTTCCTCTCCCTGCCCCCCACCCCAAACTTCTCTCCCAGTCACCAGCTACACATACGAATTCAGACCCTGCACATGTTGGTGGAAAACATGTCAAGCCAATGCCCAGATCCTAAGCCTTTTCACACACTGCTCACCCTTCCATCTCATGACACAGAAGGACCTCTGGGCTCCATGTTTACAAGCCTGACTCCCAGAAGCCTGTTGATTCTCTGATGTCCTTGGGCTGTGGTTGGGATGACTGGGCTGCCACCTAGGTGTTTCCATGATGGGATTGCCTCACAGACTGCAGAGAAGCTCAGGTACACAGCACATTTCAGATGCACTGTAACATGCAGAGGCCACTCACATAGGCTTCATCTCTGTCTGGCAGCTCTGCTGAGCTTGCTGCTCAGACCAGCAGGCTGTAGCAGCACACACCCACACAGCACCAAGTCTGAAACCAGTGGGTATTAGTCTGAGAGAGTAGGGGAGTGGAGAGAGAGAGATACTGAGAAAGAGGAAAGAGAATCGACTTCCTACTCTGGGGAAGAACTGACACATGAGAACTGTTTTCTGTTGGTTAAGTGTCTCGTTGAGCTCCCCTCTTTCTCCCCCAGAAGGGCTGAGAGGCAGCAGACCAGAGCTCTTCAGCCCTTTTTACCTTGCTGATGTTGGGCTATGAGTCCACTAGCATCATTTTGTCCCTGGGAGTATGTGCCACACCTTTGATCAGGCAGAATGCAGGGCAGTTTTAGGCCTTTCTCATGGTGGAGGCTAACTTGGAGAAAGGCAGAAGGGGCTGGGTCCTGGGCCATATGAGGCCCTCCTCCCTCCAAAGACCCCTGGGATGCTCTCAGAGGCAGATTCTAGGGTGGCGGGGCTGTGACAAGCTTCCTTTGATATCCCTCATGACATTCATGGCCCAAAGCCATTTTGTTCAGCTTTGAACAGTGAGTGCCTTGCCAGAAGGCCCCAGACTTGCTTGGGAGCATGATGTGCTCTTAAGAGTTGCTTTGTTGCCTTTCTCCACAGCCAGACTGTAAGCCTTGATGGGCAGAGATTCTGCCCTCTGCTTCTCACTCAGTGCTTCTCACCAGGATGGGCTTAATGCCTTCTAATAGAATTAGAAAATGGCTCTACTTGACAGAATTGGAAAATGCCACTTTCCTTATAATGAAGTTAGAATTTCCAAGGAAGGGATTGTAGCCAAGGAAGAGCGGTTTGACCATTGAAAGGCAGCTCAGGATCTGAGAGTTCCCTGCCATTTGGGGCTACATGCTCATTATAGCTGCATGACTGTGGTGTTGGTTAGGCAAGGACATGAACAGAGACTAGAGAGGTGTCCTTGTCCTTGCCATGGTTAGGCAATGACAATGACACCTCCCTAGTCTCTGAACATGGTTAGGACCTGTCTGAAACATTCAAACTAGACTTTACTGGAAACAGAGAGGTCTCTGTGTTCAGGGCAGCTGGCTTGCAAGGTAAGGCCTGTAGTCTGCACCCCCATGCTAACCTATGAGGGGATGCCAGAGAGAGCCCTTCCCCCCTTGGTCCCCATTCCTGGCTCAGTTTTCTCCCACAAAGCCTAAAGAGGATAGGCAACTGCCATGCAGGGAGGCACTTTTAGATACCTAGCTGGCACAAAGTCCAGAGGAAGGGAGGGAGAAGTGTTGAAGTCTGTATTACTATTCTACCTTAGGGGATTTTCCTCATGCCAAGATAGGGTGTGTGTGTGTGTGTGTGTGTGTGTGTGTGTGTGTGTGTGCAGTGTAACTTTATTAAACACATTTTATTTTATTTTTTGAGACAGGGTCTCACTCTGTTGCCCAAGCTGGAGGTATTGGTACAATCTTGGCTTACTTGCAACCTTCACCTCCCAGGCTCAAGTGATCCTCCCACCTCAGCTTCCCAAGTAGCTGGAACTACAAGTGTGAGCCACCACACTCAGCTACTTTTTTTTTTTTTTTTTTGGCATTTTTGGTAGAGACAGGGTTTCGCCATGTGGGCCAGACTGGTCTTGAATTCCTGAGCTCAGGGCGATCTGTCTGCTTCAACCTCTCAAAGTATTGGGATTACAGGCGTGAGCCACCATGCCTGGTCAATTTTTTAGTTTTTATCTCAATAGTTTTGGGGGAACAGGTGGTTTTTGGTTATAGGGATAAGTTCTTTAGCGGTAATTTCTGAGATTTTGGTGCACTTGTCAGCTGAGCATTCTACATGGTACCCAGTGTGTAATCTTTTATCCTTCACCTCCCTCCTTCCCTTCCCACTGAGTCCCCATTATATCATTCTTATTTTTTTTCTTTTTGAGACAGAGTCTTGCTCTGTTGCCCAGGCTGGAGTGCAGTGGCATGACCTTGGCGCACTGCAGCCTCCAGGGTTCAGGTGATTCTCCTGCCTCAGCCTCCTGAGACAGGGTCTACAGGCATGCACCACCATGCCCAGTCAATTTTTTTTTTTTGGAGACAGAATCTTGCTCTTGATGCCCAGGCATCAAGATTCAGGGGAGCTGGCTTACAAGGTAAGGACCTCTAGCCCTATGATCTCGGCTCACTGTAACTTCCACCTCTCGGATTCAAGAGATTGTCCTGGCTCAGCCTCCTTAGTAGCTGGGATTACAGGTGCCTACCACCAAGCCCGGCTAATTTTGGTATTTTTAGTAGAGACAGGGTTTCATCATGTTGGCAGGGATGCTCTCAAACTCCTGACCTCAAGTATCTGCCTGCCTTGGCCTCCCAAAGTGCTGGGAATACAGGTGTGAGCCACCATGTCCGGCATGTCCATCCAATTTTTGTATTTTTAGTAGAGATGGGGTTTCACTATGTTGATGAGGCTGGTCTTGAACTCCTGACCTCAAGTGATCTGCCCGTCTTGGCCTCTAAAAGTGTTAGGATTCCAGGTGTGAGCCACTGCACCCGATCCATTATATCATTCTTATGCCTTTGTGTCTTCATAACTTAGCTCCCACTTATAAGTGAGAATATAGGGTATTTGGTTTTCCATACCTGAGTTACTTCACTTAGAATAATGGTCTCCAGCTCCATCTAGGTTGCTGTGAATGCCATGATTTTATTCCTTTTTATGGCTGAGTAGTATTCCGTGGTGTATATATATTGCATTTTCTTTATCCACTTATTGGTTGGTGGGCATTTAGGCTGGTTCCAGATTTTTGTATGCAGTATAACTTACAGATGGTAAACAATATACAGCTTGATGTATTTTGACATATAATGCAGTGTGTAGCCACCACCTGGATCAAGATATGAAACATTTCCAGCACCTCATAAGGTTCCTTCATATGTCTTTCCAATCAACACTGCTTCAAAAGGAAACCCATATTTGGATTTCTATCACCATAAATTACCTTTGCCTGCCTTGAGCCTCATGTAAATGGAATGTCTTAGCATGTATGCATTTATGTGTAGTTTTTTTCTGCATAACATCTTCTTAATACTCACTGGTCTTGTTGCATGTGTCAGACAATCATTTCTTTTTATTGCTGTGTAATATTCTAGTATTTGCTTATCCACCCATGTGTTGAGGGACATTTGTTTCCAGTTTTCAGATATCATAAATAAAGCTGCTGTCCACACTGTTGTATATGTCTTTTTGTGAAGGGCATTTTACTACTCTTGAGTGAATTGTAGGAGTAGGCATATATTTAGTTTCAATAGATACTGCCGAACAGTTTTCAAAGGGATAAAACCAAATACAGTGATATACAGATAGACAGACGTACTTTAACAGGGCCTTTTCCTTATAGCTATCATTCTCTAAAAACCACAATTTACCTGCACTTATTATTACTGTTATTATAAAGGGAAAAAACAGATTTTTCTTTTGTTTGTTTTTTTGTTGCACAAGGTCTCACGCTGTCACCCAGGCTGGAGTGCAATGGCGTGATCATGGCTCACTGCAGCTTCAACCTCCTGGGCTTGAGCAACCCTCCTGTCTCAGCCTCCTGAGTAACTGGGACTACAGATGCTCGCCACACCCAGCTAATTTATGTATTTTTCTTAGGGATGGGGTTTCGCTGTGTTGCCCAGGCTGGTCTCAAACTCCTGGACCCAGATAGTCCTCTCATCTCGGCGTCCCAAAATGCTGGGATTACAGGCGTGCCACTACAACTGGCCAAAAATATAGCTATCCTTTATTAAGCTCTTATTTTGTGCCAGAAACATTACATACATTATCTCATTTCATTTTTATTGGAAACTTAAGGGATTAATACTGTTCCCATATTACACTTGAGGAACCTGAGGCTCTGAGAGGGTGAGTAACTTGCCAAAGGCCCCCAGCTGATAAGTGACCACTTGACTGTGGGCTCTGAATTTCACTTCCGTACATATGCTTCTGTTTGTTCCTGCTAGGTCAGGAAGTTTTTCCTTCCATCTGACCAAATCTAGCTGCAGGTTAAGAGACTCATTTCCTATCCACCTGTGGTCCTCTCTGCATACCTTCTCATGCCTAGACTCGAGATCTGTGTACACACACATATGCACGCAGTTTCCCTCCCACAGCCATGCACACTCACTGTGAAGAAGAAGGGGATGGGGCCAATTTGGTGAAGATTTAAGAGCTTGCCAAGTCCTGGGCTCAGCAACCTAATGGGGTCCCTCTCAGAGAATTTGCAGAAGATTGGACTAAGATTGGTCTAGGGACCAGTCTGTTTCTGGATGCTATAGAGGATAATTCAGAGGCTTGCTTTCCCTGGGAAGAGATGGGAATTTGATTCTCCTCCCAGCATGTTGAGCCAAGCCCATGGTGGGCTGCAGAGGCTGATGCCTAGGGCATCCCTCTGCAAAGTTTGTCCAGAGACGTTGCACTTTGCCGTGGAAGGTGGTTAGTGGGGAGGATGTGTGTGGTCTGAGCAGGAAGTCTGGGGAACTGCCCCTCTGGGCAGAGTGCTTGACGAGGCCCTGCACGGAATGGTCACTGCAGGAGGGAGAACCAGCAGCCTCCTCCTCGGGACCATGGGTTACCAAATCTCCAAGTCTCCAAGCCCCTAAGCTTGACTGAGAGGAGCATTGCTACTCTGTGGGTAGAGGTCGTATGTGGGTTTTCTATGCTTTGCAGGTGGCCCCTCCTCAGGCCCCTTTCTAGACTAATTGAGGTCCTGCTGGGCTCTGGGTTTGTAATTGGGGTAATTGCTGACAGGCTGCTGTGGTGGTACAAGCAGGTTTTTGTTGGGGAAACGGTAGTCAGGATTTTGGGGTTTTGGGTGGGGACAGTCCAGGGTCCCTGTTCCAGGAAGCTCTTGTCTTTGGCCTTTTGCTTGGAGGCAGGACTCCTAAGAACCAGGAACTGGTAGCATATCTGAACAGGAAGAGACCTCCTCAGGCGGGTGCTGGGAATTCAAGTCCAAAAGCACACGGAGGGAGGTAGTGCAGCTGCAGCAGAAGTCCTGATGCCTGGCACTGTCACCTATGCACACCGCTGACAGGCTGGGAGGCACCACTGTGATGTGGCTAACAGAACTCTGTTCCAATTCTTACTGATATCAGCCTTGGAAATGACAGAACCTCACCTTGCTTCAGACTTAAAAAATTTTTTTTTAATCATTTTTTGAATAGACAATATATTCACATGGACCAAAATTTAAACATATAGAAGTCTTGCAGTGAAAAGTTTCCCTCCCACTTCTGTCCCCCAAGTCACCCTTCTCACAGGCAGCTAGTGACTCTGGCTTCATGTATATCCTTCCAGACATAGATTATGCACATACAAGCATACGCACATATATTCTCCCATACTTCCTCAATTTTTGCCTATGGCAGCATTGAATGCACAGTGTTCTGCATCTTAGAAATCTTTCCATATGAATGCATCCCTTTTTAGAGCTGCATGCTATTTAGGTTGTTTCTGATCCTTTGTTTTTACAAGCA